CATCCACATGCAAATTAAACCCCTGATTTGCAAATGCTATCTTGTCCACTGTCTCCTTGCAATTTGATTCAAACTCCACCCTTTTCCAGCCTTCCAGTGTGACTATTTTGATGGCTTTCCTTATCGCTAGAGTCTCTTCCATGTTGCCATTTTGGCTGCATGTTCTTGGAACAGCCCAAGTTGGTATCAACCTTTCTTTGTCATCTCTCCCAACTATTCCCCATTCTGTCTTGCTCAATTTTTTGTTGAAAATTGCAGCTGTATTAATCTTTATATTCCCTTTCTCGGGGAGTTCCCATTTTCTGAATTCAATCTTGTCTTTGATCCACTCATTTCCTTCACCTTCCTGGTTCTTTGTTGTTTCTTGGTATTCTCTCCATTCTCTCAAAGCTTTGTTGATTGGAATGAAAGGGTCCCTTTCCACCTCATTGAACTGGCCGTCATTTCTTGCCTTCCAGACTCTCCATAGCAAGTTTGCTGTCAAAACCATAGTTATTAAACCCGATCCGGTCCGCGCGGTTGAATCGGTCAAATTAGTGGATCCACCATGGAACAAAGCCGGTTTAGCAATTGGATCGGAGTTGCGGATGACACGTTTTGAACCGTTTGACTCGGACGATCGAACCGGTGATCCGCCAAACCCGACGATTTTTTATGAACTAGGCGGGTTTGGAAATTTTCTAAAATTACCTTTTTATCCAAATTTTTAATTTGATCGGCCATACTAGTATGGGCATTTGTCATCTTTTTGACAATTAAATGAGAAAAATTGAAAAGAAATTTGAAAAATTAGGGTTATTTTCTTTCTTTGATACTTAGATTTGCCATTTATATTTGTGTATAATATCAATATGAATTCATAAACTAAAGAACATATATGAGTATGGATTGTATGTATGAACTATGGAATATGAATAAATTATGGTTTGTTAATATTTTAAAATTTCTGTACTTGTATTATAATTAATAAATTTATTTAATTATATTATATTTTTTTATTATACAGTATAACCCGCCGGTTGAACCATTGACCTGTCAATCCGGTCCTCCTGCCGAGTTGATGCTCGGGTTGGTTTTAATAACTATGGTCACAACAATATGGTCCTGCCCCTCCTCTCCCTTTGTTGCCTGTATCAATTCTTCCCACCAATGTCAGAATGAATTCCTTAGCCCCTCTAAGCTTATGTTTTAAAACTCGGACTAGATAGTGATTCGGTAGAGTTCAAAGGTCAGGGTCGATGGGTTCGATACGTCATAAATATATATAATTAATATAACATATAAAAATTTCCCTAAAATTGGTGGTTTATAACATTACATACATATTTGATGAGTTTAGATATAATCCAAAAGGATTCCACCTAAAAAATTTAAAAATTATAAGTAAAAATGTAATAGGTTAATTTTATACTTTACTAAAACAATATGGGGTCAAAATAAACTTATAAAAAAAATTTTGAGGAGGGCTTCTAAAGCTAATAAATGCTAAACCTAATGTTTCTTTTTTGCGAGGAGCCCGCCTCTTCCTTCTTTCTTTCCTTTTTATCTTGTCTTTGTTCCTTCTTCTCTCTCCATCATAAAGTCAATAATTCTCTCCTTTTCTTTTATCCCACACAAACCAAACACATCAAACACATATGAAAACTCTCTTTTTCTTCATTATTTTTCTCTTTCCCTCTTATCTATTCTCTTCCCTTCTTTGCTCTTTTTCTTTTTTTTTCCTTCAATTTAATTTCAAATCTTTGAAAATTTAGTTGCATGAAATGGGGTTTAGTGAATTTAGAGAATGAAAATTTTCTCCTAATCTAGATTTCTAACTTCATTCGACACTAATTCTTAGCGCTATTCAAAAATCAAAGGAGTTGGAAAAAAAAGGAAGGAAGAAGCCATCAGGATGGCAGTGAGTCCGGTTTCTTTTTTCTTTTTCTTTTTTTGTTTTTAAGTTTGGATATTTTAAAGTTATACAACATTTTTTTAAAAAAAATTCCTCAATTTAGTACAGAGGATGTTGCATGAGATTCTAACAAAAACACAATGCTTTCTTATTAACTTGATTCTACTTTGCTATTTGGTGGTACTTGTTATAAAATTAAAAAAAACCATTAGAATGGAAAATTTGGAAAAAAAATCCGGTTTTACTTGTTCCCGGTCAAACCCAGTCTTTGACCGAGTCTTTGATTAACGGTTTATTAAAGAGAATCGAACCGAATGATTGGTCAATTTTCGGTTCAATCGGTCGGACCTTCTACAATGTATAGGTCCTGCTTTCCAAATCAGCCCTTCTACAATGGAATAGCATATATTCCAAAGTTTCCACTGCTTCTCCCCATCTATTGCACATGGGACTTCCCTTTCTAGTTTTGTTCATCACTACTTCATTGACTGGTAAGACCTCTCTTAGGCACTTCCATATGAAATGTTTTAGTTTGTGCTTCATATTTAGTCCCCATAGTTCCTTCCATGCTCTAGATCCTCCATGTTCTTACTCTGGTTCGATTCTCCTCCATCATCTTTTTTCCTTCTTTGCTTTGGCAGCTTTGCCCACATGGACCCAGATTTGACACTATAGATTCCTTTCTCATTTCCTATCCAGTACATCTTATCCTTCCTTCCTGTTTTGCTAATAGGAATTGTCATTCCTTTCCTACAATGTCTTTTCTAGCAGCATTTGATTCCATTCCCCATGCCCCCTTGGTACTTGAGTTCTTTAAGTTTTAGCGTGTTAGAAGATATATTGTGAATGGGCTAAGTTTGAGATAGATTCCAACTTTTCTGTTGGTGCAATTGAGAAAATTTTCCTTTGGATTGCTATTTTCTGCGGTTTTTATATAAAAAAAAGTACTATTTCGATTTGATATATAAAAGGTTAAAAAAAATTGAAAAAATATGTTTACGAAAAAAGTAAAAATTTTTTGGGAGAGAATGGCTTTCCAAACAAGGTATTAACACTTATACCAGTTTTCCCTGCTTCACTAAACACTTAACCATAACAACATGCTATTTTGATAGGCCAATTCATTGAATATTTGTATTGTACTACCCGTCCTCGTGATTAAAAGTGGTACAATTATTTCAAACATCAGCGCGCTTTGATGGAAGGAAGATTTAGAAGTATTTATCAATTTTTTTCTCTTCTTGGTTTATGTGGTTTATAAAACCAAAGTGAAGAAAAATGCTGTGGTTCACAAGATATTAGCATACGGAAAATTTGCTCAGAAATTACTGACCATTTAAGCTTGAATCAATTGGATCTCTTGGTTCAAAACATATTCAGCATTGATGGACAATCGACCCCTAAGAGTAAGCGGTTTCTAATTGTATTTCACTTAACAAGAATATATCGATGAAGTTAGCTGATTGAAAGATGCCATGTGACATCACGTTATATAATTCCATTCTTTTTCAGAGGAAAAGGGTTCATGTCATCTAAGAAATCAGCAAGGCACGGTGCAAGTGTAGCACACAATTCTTAACGCATTAGCACGAGTTTACGGAGCACTTCGTAGGGTACGGTTTTGATGCCTCTAAAATAACTTGACAAATGAGAGATAATTGTATCATTTAGCTAATTCCGTGGTGTAAATGATTCTGTGCCCACTTTGCTTGATGCGTCCAAGAATGTGATTTCTTCGATGAGTTTGTGTTTGTGTGCTCAACTTGACGTTGGTTACGCCCTTGGAATTGATTGGAATAATTGCCTTCTTTAGCAGTAGAGGCTCTGGATACATGGCAAATTTTCCTTTTATCAACATGCATTTACGAAAGCGTTTGTTAGGTTGCTCCTGCTTGAAGTTGTTGGTCAGTTTCAGAACTCAATTTCTAACATTATCAGAAACATCTTATACCACTTGGAGAGGTGATGGTTTGAGTTGTGTTAGATACGTAGGTTTTGTGAAGCAAATGTTGAAACTTGAAACTAGTAGGATCAGTTCTTCTGAGAAGTAACGAGGAATCTGTGATCAGCGAAGCTCTGTTTCATTACCTTCATAATTTTCACACTTGAGTCGGTAGTTATTGTAGCATTTTATGAGTGGCTTCATTCTTACATGTATTATTAGCGTGCCCAAGGTCGTGAGATATTGAAGTTGTTGATAAATGACCAAGCAACATACACCCTGTTAATAGAAGTTTATTCTTAAAGAGGTTAGAAATATATAACCACATTCTGGTTTTCTCAGCAGCATACCAGCCTATGCTATGTGACGATAAATTTTATGTCAATCTGAAACAAGAACTTGGCATGCCTTGTAGTTGATCTAGGAGTAACAAAAAAAAGTTCCATGTGTGAATATATAAAAATCCCATTTGTCAATTCATATGCTCAATGAGATCCACTTAACATGTAAAATGGAATTAAGTGGGGCTTTATATGTTCGCGTAGTACTTTTCCATTCGTCATGAAGGAGCAATTACAGATTAGTAGTTGCTTTGGACCAACATAAAATTTTCACTGTCAATCCCAAGTAATTCTTTGTAAGCCAACTTTACATACAGGATGGATACCACAAACAAATACAAATAAATTCTCTGAAAGAATCCAGAACTGAAACCATGCTAGCTTCAACAAGGCTAAACAGCTATTACGTTTATCCTCGTCTGTGAAAAATGGCTAATGAAGTTCTTGATTCTAAACAGGGACTTAAGCTACTCTTGAGATTTTGGAATACCTCTTTATCCACTCATAATGCTCCCAACATTCTATTTAATATGTTTGCATGCATGTTCAACAGTAAACAACAGGCCTTATAAACTTCAAAGTTTCAAAATCAGTAGGTTATATCAGATCATTATGTTATCATCTCCTGTTGCAACTCGTAAGAGAAAAAAGTGTGTGAACGGCCCAGCACAATAGAGACTTTTTACCAGTAAAAAATCTCATCTCAGAAATTAATTGTTAAAGTTCTCAAATCCTAAGGATGTAATCTGATGAAGAATCTCTTTTCTCAATGCAGCATTCGCTTCTGCAGGGCTGGGAACTAGATTCCTCGACTGGAGTGGCAGACAACAAAAACTTAGCTGTTATAACCAGAACTTTTCTGGGAACCAACATAAATGTTAATGATATTGATATCATTAGGCTTCTTGGCACTTGGTATCCTACATGCATATATTGGTAGTCTAACTATTCTACTGATCTCATTGATCAAGGACTCTTCAGTGATGTTGTCCTCTATACTTCTCATCACTTGTAGATATGTGCGATAGTCATTCGGAGTTGATTTGTCCGACCTAATCCGCATATAACTCCATACTCTATGTTCAGAATTCCAAGAACATTCAATGATCTTCCCAGAGTACAAAGAGGGACTGCTACCATCATCGAACACAGCTTTAGTTGCTCCCATCAGCTTCTTCTTCCCTCTTTCATGAAGATAAAGCTGTTGGTGATGGCCAACCATCTCAAACAGAAAATCAACTGAATTCATCTCTGCGTACTTCCATTTCAGAAGACCCTCATGTGTTCGAGGAACATAAGGATCAAACCAAGCCTGAAAGATAAGGCCATCAGCAGCATGCGGAAGCTTTGGGATGAAGTCTTTCAACACACTGTTGACTGTACTGAGGAACCAAAAATCCTTCCTTCTCATCCCAAATGTTTCCAAATCATATCTATAATGAGGATTCTGGCTCCCTTGAATTTGATTACTTTCATAATTTCTGGGCTCAATCACTTCCTTCTCAATCATTTCCCAACGTTCACAAAAAGGTCGGCCCACAAGGGAGATTGAATTAATAGCCATTATATCAAATATCAGGTATCCTCTTACCTGCTCCCCCGAACCGGGTATTGTATCAATTATCATCTCACCATCAAGTAAAGTGAGGTGGTGAGCGTTCTCACCACAACCATCGGTGTGCCTGCAAGGAAATCTAAGCTGAACCCTCCTAAACCGAAACTTCCTATCAATCAAGTAACTGCCTTCATCGGTAATCAACATCATATATCGCGTTCCATCAGCTTTCCATGTTGCATAATACATTCTTTGCTTTAGCAGTTGTATGTTTTCGCGATTGAGCGAAACTGGGTGCAACCCTGGAAATTGCAGATTCTTTTTCTTCCCTACTGGCAACTTGAGCAATTGATAGCACATTTGCCTCAGGGTACGTTCCTGTTCAAAAGGGATGCCATCTCCCAAGATATCATCATTCTTCATTAGTATCTTATAGGAGAGAAAACTTGCTTGTGTTTGGGGTAATAGGAGAGAAAACTTACTTGTGTGCAGAAGCAAGAACAACGAGTAGTAGAAGTAACAAACTGGATGTTTGTTTGTTTCGATCTTGACTCAAAAGCTTGCCAAAGAACTAAAGAAGTAGTAAACTAGTAATTGAGTATTACACTGCTACTTTTTACAAACCGAAAGAGTTGTTAAATTGACGCTCCTCAGGCCAATGGCCATTTAAAAGAACCCCAGCCACCACTCAAGATTCTTTTGACGAATCGGAATCGGAATCGGAATCTGACTGACTCACTCGAACATCCAGGGACCAGGAATCTCCTTGCCGAAAGCTTAACTACTAGTAATACTAACCTAATAGGGAGTAAAATGTCTTTTAAAAAAATCTGATAAGTTTGTTCAAGAGTTTTGGCCTATTGAGCCTTGCTTGTTGCTCCGAACCAGTGACTTTTCAGAGGCATTGCTGGTTTTTTGGGACATAAACTAAGAAACAACACCTTAGTGTTGCAAAAAAAGCTTATAAGAGACTTGTATTGAGGGTAGAAAATGAGCTTATGTTCTACATTCATCAACTCACTATTTATAGTGATTACATGAAACAAACTAGCAAAATATCCAACTAACAATTATCCTAAAAATCTCAACAAAATATAATCTTCTACTACTAGCAAATCTTATCTAAAATATTTGTTAACAAACCAACATGATCTTTGGTTAACAAATATCCTTATTTTCTAATAACTAAATTATTTTGATATCAAACATAATCTAGCAAAATATGTAGAAAAAGTTGCATATCCCAACAGTCCTCCTTGCCACTTTTGCTGCAGATTTTGAATTGTCTTTTCAAATCTTTGAATCTTGTTTTGGAGAGACTTTTGTAAGAAATTCTGCAATTGATGATTAGCCTTGCAATGAACTTCTTCTTTTGGATTTTTGTGCAAGCTAAATATTAGTCTTGCAACAAGCCACTTCTTCTGTCTTCTCATGTCAAACTCCACATAAAAGATGATTTTTTTTTTATGTTTCCAAATAACCTTCTCATAGGTTTAAAATGGAACATCTTTTGACGTTATTTGAACCTATACAGAAAATATGAAATTCTGCATGGCTCTTCATTTTGTCATCACCATCAAAATTTGTAGACTCAAAAACAGAAATGTTATAATCTTGATAAATATCAGGAATCAATTTGATAGTTCCTGACTTATCAATGATCTCCTCCTGAATTTTTTCAGGATCTGAATTCTTGATTTCATCATCATGTTCCACTTTAGAATTGTCAAAATCTGACCAATTCATAGTGAAACTTCTCCTTTTTATTTTAATTGAGAATAATTTATTCTCAATCAAATCATTACCCATTATCTTTGTGAAAACGGCATAAAAAACTGATATGTGAATGCTGGCCTTGGATCTCTGTCTGACTGCAACTCTGTGGTCTCTAATTTGTGTGTCAATCAGCTCTTCAAATGCTGATAAAACAAAATTTGTTTCCACCATATTCCGTAGATCATTGACTACCAAATAAGTCCAAAATTTGTGGCCCAAATTTGGTAAGTTTCACCACTAAAAGTTGAAACATTTGACAAAAAATTCTTTCCTGTCATGACTTTGAACTTATAAAGGATCCTTACCAATGCATCTCTCTAAAAAAAGATTCAGGCCCTTAAGATATAGGTTCTTGATACCACTTTGTTGGTTTTTTGGGGTATAAACTAAGAAACAACACCTTAGTGTTGCAAAAAAAAGCTTATAAGAGACTTGTATTGAGGGTAGAAAATGAACTTATGTTCTACATTCATCAACTCACTATTTATAGTGATTACATGAAACAAACTAGCAAAATATCCAACTAACAATTATTCTAAAAATCTCAACAAAATATAATCTTTTACTACTAGCAAATCTTATCTAAAATATTTGTTAACAAACCAACATGATCTTTGGTTAACAAATATCCTTATTTTCTAATAACTAAATTATTTTGATATCAAACATAATCTAGCAAAATATGTAGAAAAAGTTGCATATCCCAACCGAAACTAGGAAAAATTTGACACCGAATTTTGAGAATTTAGAAGTTTTGTAATTGAAGAAATTTGCTTGCTCTTTAGTTTTGGCATGCCTCTCTCTGTAACTCTCTCCATGCAGTCGAGTACCAACTCCATTCCATGGGACAGAGATGCTATGTCATATTTCCGGTGATTGTTGCTATTGTCGAGGAATTCAAAATTATTACCACACAGTTTGATGCTTATATTCCTATGTTTTCACTTATTAGACACCCTAAAAATTATAACCCCATTAAAAGACAAAATTATTATGAGCTGTAATAACTACTAATAAGTACTAGTAATAGTTGTTTCTACTGTAACGTACTTTATGACAAGTTTGAGAGAATACTTTATGACAAGTTTCAATAGGATTTCGATTTGTGTGATGCCCAGTCACTTGGTTTATGTCCCTCGCATCAAATAAAACTACAAAAATAAATAACAAATAATTATATTATTTGGTTTATGTCCCCCATGAAATGGATAGAGTATTATTTCAAACAATTATTTGAAATAATTACTGTAACACTTCTTGTGATGTGATGTGTTTGAGATAAAAAGATGATTAAAAATATAAAATGATATATTAAAAAATGTGTTTATGATAGGGGGAAGAATCATAACTCTTTATATTAAAAGATCTTTCTCAAAAAGAAAAGATAAAATCTTTAACTGAACAACTGAAAGAAATGTATAAGATCTCAGGCTCACAAGGAGATACTATTCTCTCACAAATTTCTGAAATTGGGGAGCTCAAAGGAAGGCTGTCTCATACAGCATCTCAAACACACTAGTTGTTGGACTTTTACGGCTCCAATTAAAGACCTATGTTGGACTACACTATGTTGGACTATGTTGGACTTTTACGGCTCTAATTAAAGTCTTTTACGTGATTAATTAAATGTTAATCAGATGTTCTACAAACTTTATTACAAAAATTCCTTTTATTTTTATATTTTTCTTGTTCTTCTAATTTTTGTCTTTCTATTGATTTTAATTCAGAGTATTTATGCCAAAGTAAATCTACTTTTGTTTGTCTTAAATTTTTTAGAAATGATGCGGGATGGTGGTGTGCTACTTTAGATAATCTAGCTTCTTCTATTTGTATATGTGCTAAACACTGGTCTGTTGTTTCAATTTCCTCTAAAATTTTGTCAAAATAATAATAGGTATCTGGTTGTCTGAGGCTTTGTAATGCTAATCTGTATGCATTTTCTGGAGTGGATGTAAATTGAAAAGGCGGTTCAAAATTCATATAAAATATCAGGATGATTAACTGGAATTTAAGAAATTGATGACTACTAGATACTTTAAGAAAGATAACTGAGATTTTACCTTCCTTGCTTTAAATCCAAATTTTCCTTCTGATGCTGTGAAAATGGGAATCTTGTGATTAGGAGTTTTGCCTCACCGGATCTTCCCCTGGCGCCTGCTTTGTAACTGAAAGGCTTTAATGGGTACTACACCGTCTTTTGGTCTTTTAGGATCCTAAAAACAAGGTATCTTTTTCAGAGTTTCCGGTTGTTTGGATCTAATCTAGGGTTGGCTGCCTAAATCTCTACTTTCTTATTTCTCTTTCGTCTTATGCTTAGAAATATGAGAGAGCTAAAGACTTGTAAAAAACTGCTAAAGAACGTATGAAATTGGAGTTTTTATTGGATGCTTTAATTTACAGGATGTAAGTGCATCGTACCCAACATTGGTTTGGGACGTATGCCTTTATAGACTTCTTGTGTAAACTGTGCGGACTTAAAATTTTTGACTAAAAGTCCGTGGATATGACATGTTAACTTTTACGGACTTAAAACCTACTGAAATCCGTAAAAACATCAAATCAATATTGCCTATCTATACAATGTGGCTGTCAGTGAATAAAGGCTAAAAGCTCTATGGCCGTCCTATACAAAAAGTAATTTGGCCAAACTATACAATAAAAGCTTTTATGACCGATCTATTATAGCTTTGGACAAGATGGCCGAAGAATTATCCTTCCATCATATTCTCGATATTGCTCATTTCTTCTGGTCCCATTGTTTCCCAATAATGATCATCATTATATTCTTCATCTGCTTCGATATCCAAATGCCTTGCTCCTGAGCTCATATAATATCCTTCTAAATATTTTTCAAAAACTTCTGGATAATTGGTGCTTATAGTGAAATCTTTTTCTAACTTAAACCTATATGGGACATATATCTTTTGTATCTTATTTTCATATACTAATCTAATCCCATTTTCCCATTGATCTATGAAATGTCTGTAAGCTAATTGGATCATTTTAGCATTTATCAATTGTTCTTTTAATTCTAATGGACATTCCACTAGACTGCTGCTGATTTTTTCTAGTTCTTCTGTCGTTCTCCTTGCTGGTGGTATATTGCTAACTGTAATCATCATTCTATGTATTGCTGGTTCTATATCAAAAAATCCTATCCATTCTGCTGGCGCGGATTTGATATGTACAGTTGCCCACTGTCCATAGTCTAACATTTTTCTGATGAAGTATCCGAGATGAGTTCCAAGACAATGAGTATCTTCTGGATTTGTAACAATAATTTTTTCCAGGAATCCGGCATCCATAAGAAATTGTGGTGTTAAAATAACTCGTTCCCCATTCACTCTTAGTATCTTTGGGGATGAATATTTTGATAAGATAATAGTTGCTCTGAGGAAAAAATGACTGAGTGTATGTATACAATGGCTGTTTATTTTCTGGTGGTCACAGGCTTCTGGATTGTTTGGGCAATGTTTTTCTGGGTTAATGAAGAAAGATGGATGTAGTCTAATGGCTGCTGTATTTCTAATTGGGTCTTTTGCTATTTCATAAAAGTATTGTTGGGCTGCCATTAATTTTGAATAATATTGGGCTTGGGCTTTTTGGCTAATAATTTCTTGGATATGTAAAGGGAGGAAATTAAGTAGGTGATATGGTTTAAAGGATATTCTGGGCTTAAGAAATTCAAATGGTCTTTCTGAAATGGGCTTTTCTTTTATAAAAATTGTCTGTTTTATTGGGCCGGATGAAGAACTGGCCATT